AAAAACTCCTTCAGCTAATGGGTCACTCGCTTTTTTTGTGTACAAATCTTGTGACCTCCTGGTGACTACCGACACGCGTTTTGAATTTGAAATATGGATATGGAATAATGGTGGATCATATTGGACTCGAGGAATGTCCGAAAATGTAACTAGTGCTGCTGTTAAGTTTGTGAGAGGCCTCTGGAACAATGATAAATTGTGCCTTCATATCCATGAAGGGGCTTTTGATGGTTTATAACATTGGCACAAGGAGTTGAGCAGTCTCACTTTGTGTTCAGTCCTCAGGGCTGGTTTAACATTCTTCCTTATGTGGAGAGTGACAAGCCTATAGGACACGACATGCATGATTTTGTCTCATGATTATGATTCTTCTATTGTGTATTCTTCTTACTTATTGAAAGGGATACAATAGAAGAATCATGAGACAAAATCATGCATGTCGTGTCCTATAAGCTTATCACTCTCCACATAAGGAAGAATGTTAAACCGCCCCTGAGGACCTGAACACAAACTGAGAGTCCTCAACTCCTTTGAGCCAATGTTATAAACCATCAAAAGCCCCCCTGAAGCAGAGGTCTCTCACGAACTTAACAGCAGCACCAGTCACATTTTCGGACATTCCTCGAGTCCAATATGATCCACCATTATTCCATATCCATATTTCAAATCCAAAACGTCTGTCGGTAGTCACCAGAAGATCACAAGGTTTGTACACAAGAAAAGCCAGTGACCCATCTACCTCAAATCCCACCATCACGTATTAATTCATACATATCATGACAGGTAGGTTCCGATTGGCTCCTTGCTCTCGACATAAGGATAAATCCGATTGCATACACTAGGTCCAGCACAAAAACCCCTATTGGTCAACTCAGATGTCGGAAGGTCATACACAAGCACATCATCCTTCATGTCTTCAAGAAACAATTTGTCACTATTGAAGAAGCCGAGTACATCTTTCACAGCAGCACCAGTGATTGTTTCAGACACGACTCGAGTCCACGAATCAACGTTATTCCAAACCCAAACTTCAAACTCAAAAGGCCTCTCGGCAGTCACCAAAATATCCGGGCTTCTATACACAATAGAAGCCAAGGACCCATCTAACTCGGCAAGCCGGTGTTTATAAACAAAAAGAATTTTCGATTGGGGCAAAGGAATAAGAGGCAACAACTCTTCCTTCGCTAAGTCGAAGGGGATGATATGACTCAACGACCTCCAATAACAAAATCCATTTATGTGAATATGCTGATCAGATAAGCCGCACGCCAGGAGATGAGAAGGACGAGCTATTTCCTTCCAAGAATCATTCTTCAATGAGTAGATTTCCGCTCGGAAGTAGTCCTTAACCTCATCATGGTCTTCATCATAGAACTCCAAAAAGCGCACCACCTTGTAGTCCAGAGAAACTGGCTCGAATCCGAAAGCACGGAAATTGATTTCGGTGCATGCCGTGTAAGGTGGGAGGGGTATAGAAGATTCCGGAAGGGGTTTGACCTCGTTAGTCATCGGGTTCCATAGAGCGCACTGCAGGTCACTCGCCTTATTAGTAGACACGAGCACGAGCGAGCGACAGCTATCAATGGGATTAAAGTAATTAATATGCTTCCAAAATGTAAAATCAAGATGACTGTGTTTCCCCACGAGGCCGTTTTGGTTCGGATTATGCTCGACGGTTAAGTGACACAAACATAATTTATTATCCTTGAATTTGCCATGATGGACCACAAATTGGGTGGTGGCTCTGTTGAGTGAGTTGACCACAGAGGACCTTGGACCCACATCTCTCCGCGTACAAATGTTTTTCCTTCCGATTGGCATCTGGCTTGATACATATGGAGCAATGATGGAGGCCCATGGATGAACATATATACTGAGATACTTCAACTCTCTTTAGGTGCAGTCCCAAAGCACTACCTCAGATTTCTCGTCCCGAAGAAATAACTTGTCGTTGTTGAAAAGGCCCATGATCCTAACAATTCTATAGTTTACATCAGTAACATCAGACTTCACCCGAGCCCAAGATCCGCAATTCCACACCCAAGATTCACAATTCCACACCCAAATTTCAAATTCAAACGGTCCCGGATCTCCCGGTTCTTCATGTAAACAACAGCAGCCAGGGATCCATCAAACTCAGCAAGACACAAATTCGACAGCGATGGATCGATAGAAAAATGGCTAGGTGGCAGAGGGATTTTAGCCCTCGGGAACTCCTCATTCACATAGTCGAATGAAATGATACAGGAACCAGTACGACAAGGATCTGAGTCCACCCAATAATGAAAGCCATTTATGTAAATCGAAAATCTTTTACCCCGTGGGGAAGCAGGGTAGTGGGGATATGGAATTTCTTTCCAGGAATCAGTTTTGAGCGAACAGCTCGGCAGCAGAATCGCTGTTAATTCTGATTACCTTGTAGTCCTTAGATGAGGGATCAAAACCTAAACCACATGGCCTGGAGGATGTGGGTCGAGGGAGGCTCCTTACCTCGTCGGTGGTAGGGTTCCACAGAGCAGCGTGAACAATAAAGTAGTCATCCAAAGAAGCCAACATCAGCTCATTACAATACTCACCTGGATAGAAGTAAGAGCTGCGCTCGGTGTCGGGAAACTTGAGCTGGCGGACCTTGTAAGTCCTTTCGTCGGGAGTTGAGATAAGGCGGTAGTCAACGCCTTCCTCCATTAAGCGCGTGGCCATGAGGAACTCCTTGTGACGATGTACCTTCTTCGCCGGTGGTGAGGCGGCGCCGGGCACAAGCAGTCGTCTATATGTATTTGAAATGGATTGGAGTTTGGCGAGGAGCATGAGAGTTAAATTTGAGAGGGTTCTCATTTTCCGGGCACAAGCAGCAGCCGGCGGCCAGGCCGAGATTTAGGTTTAACCCTACCGGTGGTGAAAAAATTACCAGTTCCCAAGTTTTCACAGTCGTCTATTATGTTATGTACATTCTGTTTAGAACTTCAAACAACAAGTTATAAAAAAATAAAAAATAAATAAAAAAAACTAAAAAGTAATTTAGTATTTTAAATTTAATGTACGTATGACACTTGGAATGCATAGTTTACCCCCATTAATGTTACTTAGAGCATCTCCAATGGTCTTTCCATTGCTGCCACATGACATAAAAAATCTGACGTGGCCTGAAAAATGTCTAGAAGGCTTTCTAGATGTAGAAGTCCTTCTAAACAACTTCTATTATATATTATATTATTTATTCAATTTATCTTTCTTCTCCAACCAATTACAATTTTACACATCACAAATGACACTACAATTAACACTAACCATTGGAGACAAAAAAATTTAATTCCCTTTCTCCATGTTATACATCACAATCGCCATTGGAGATGCTCTTAATACTTATTTCCACATTGTTTTCCCGAACCTATGAACTACAAGTGCACCAAAAATTTAGTTTTTATAATGTATTGATTATTAATTTGTTATTAGAAATAATTGTAAGCCCTTACATTATTTTTAACACAAGAAAATCGTTTGAAA